TAATAGTTACCACTAATACATCTCTACTAGTGGAAAATAATGTAAAACTGCTAGGATTTATTTTGGATGAAAGACTCAGTTGGTCAAATCATATTAAGCAGTTGAACTTGGAACTGTCCAGCTCACTTTTCAACTTACAACAACTTCGCCTTATTACACTAATACTCTTAGAATCGCTTACTTCTTTCTATTTGAAACCCATCTTAATTATGGAATATTGCTTTGGGGTAGCTCATCTGCTGCATGTAGTGTATTTCAACAGCAAAAAAAGCTATAAGGATCTTGGCTAATGCCAAGTATAGAGAGACTGCCCGACCACTGTTCAAAAAGTTGAAGATCATGACTCTTCCTTGCTTATTCATTTTAAGTACTCTTGTGGAGATCCATAAGAAACTACCCAACTTAGTTACACAGTCTGATATTCATCAACATAATACTAGAGGAGCATACACTATCAGAATACCCACATATAGACTTACCAAATCGGCAAATAATTTTTTAAATTTCAGCTTATATAATATCCTTCCAGATGATCTGAAGAAGGCCATCATGTTCTGTTTCAAAAAAATTATTAAACTTTTTTTAATTGAAAGTTCCTTTTCTACACTAGATGAATATGAAAAAAAGGTTAAACAAGGTGGAATAATTTGATTTATGCTCACTGAGACATTATCTTTAAATTATTTACTCTTATATGTATATTCTGTTTATATTCTATTGTGGTATATGTCCAGTTTTATATCTACTTAAAGTTTTTATCCAATGAACAAACTTTTGTGACTTGCTACAAATATGCAACTGTATACAAAATGGTTAAATGAAGTACCTACTTACTTACTTACATACGGATTTATTAATATTTCGCTTGTAAAATTGTAAATTGTAATGTAGGCATCAGAAATGAGCATTCAAATATACATTGTAGTTCCTCCCACTTTGTTAAATATGTTTTCGTAAAGTGGCTTTGACGTTGAATAAATAAATGAATAAATATTGTATTCTGTACTTCGAAGAATTATAATTATTGGAGTAGTAGTGTACCCCATTTTCTACAACGCACAGAATCGTTAGACTGCCAAGTTAATACTGAAGGACGTAACTACGATTTGATGTTTTGAGTGCTCCCTCCCAAAAATTATCTAACAGTCAATTTGACAGGAATAATTGAATCCTCTAAGCTAAAATTAATCTTAAGAAATACTTTTCCAAGTCACAACAATAACACTGTCTCTCGAGACGAGTTTCGCTATTACCGCGACTACCAGTCATTTCCATCTCCTGATTATGCGAACTTGGTTAACGAAATGCGCGACAAGAGACAGTGTATTTTTTCTGATGTGGAAAAAGTGTTTTCTTCAGAGTAAAAGCTATTGTCAACTAAACTTTCATTAGAGAAAACCTAAAATATTGGGAACATTTCTTTCACATAACTCACACTGTATTGAAAATATGATGTTAATAATATGATGTATCAACTATTCTCAAGGAGAGTTACTACTTTTCCCACGCCAAATTTCAAGGTGAACTTTTCGACAACCCATGTCTTGTTCATTGCCGAATATAATCATCATTCAGTACTCGAATGTATTGATTTTTGAGTTCCTTATTCCTTAAGATATATGGAATGTCATAATAGAATGTGAATATTTTTTTGCACCAACTTGTTTTTTGATAGCAATGAATGTAGTTTTGTCATTGTTTTGATTTTCTTGTAAACGGTGCGTTGTCTTGATGAAAAAACATTATTTTCTTTGCCATATACTGTTATTTCTTTACAATTTCGACCTTGAAACCCTCCAATAACACTATATAATATTCACTGCTGATGGTATTTTCCTTCTCAAAATCGTCTCAAGATACCGAAGCCATAACCTTTCCATTCAATTGTTGTGCTTTCGGGCGCTTTGGACGAGGTTCAAGAGCGTCGCCAAAGGGGGGCGGGGGGGGGCACTTACCCCTCCCTAGAGATCAAATGTAGCTAGCCGCAAAGCGTTGTTGTGTGCAAGTGTGTTGTGTGCATTGCATTTCTTTCTACGACAGCTGTCCACCAGCATTCACGTTAGTTTTGTATAATTTGTATGCGGCATACCTAAAGTAGAAGTTATTGTTACGACGAACAATGATCTGAAATCACTTCCTGAAATTGGAAATGCTATGGGAACCACCAAAGATACTTTAAACTTTTTTCGGGAATCAGTTTTGAGGAGGAAGTTGATACCTAATATTTCCAGACTTTGCGAGACAAGATTGAGTGAGAAACACAAAACCATCAGAGTGTTTTCCCTTGACGAGGTTCATCAGTTGCTCTCCACTCATATGACGATCGTTTTGATTCCGGAATGAAGTCATGGATCCATGTTTCATCCATTGTCACATATTGACGCAAAAATTCTGGTTTGTTATGTTTGAACATGGCCAAACACTGCTCAGAATCATCAAGACGTTCTTGTTTTTGGTCAACAGTGAGTCTCGCGCGGCACCCACTTTAAACACAGCTCTCTCGTAGTCAAATGCTCATGCAATATAAAGGGAATACATTCTTTTGGTATCTTTTCAATGTCAGCTGACTCACTCAACTTCATTTTTCGGTCATTAAAAACTTTTTTGTGGGTTTCTTTAATGATTTCTGGTGTTACTGCCTCATTTGGATGTCCACTGTGTTCTGCATCTTTGGTGTCTCTACGACCACGTTTGAAGTCAGCTAACCAACGTTCATTTGTTGTTTTTGATGGAGCGGACTCTTTATGACACTTTTAGAGCCATTGCTTCGCTTGAACGGTATATTTCCGATCAAGAAACAGTGTAAAATGAAAACACGAAATTGTTTTTGATCCATTGTTTTGAAAATAACAAAATTTGTGTTATCTCTTAGGACAATAACTGACAAACTTATGAGTAGATTATCATGAAAATTCAACAGTTTTTTAAAGGTTCATCTTTTCATCTCTTCGAAAAGAAGATCAAACTGATCTTCCTATTGAAGATGATCACTTGGTGATCGAAACACATGTCAAGGTGTTACAATAACGGTTTGGTTACGTACTACAGTATTTTCTAATTCTACAAATTCGAGACTAATTTAGGATTGTGTCCAACATCGATAATAAGTCGGCAATTTACGTCAATGCTTATTTTTTATAAAGTAATTAACAAGTTCACACCTATTTGAATTGAAGGGGTTATATTTTTAGGAGTGATTAATTTTTGGGAAAGAAAGTTTTTGGCTTTCTACTACTCTATCTTGATACAAAAAAAGGATGAGGGAATCTTCCAAAGAAAGGAAGGAAGAAATTAATTTGAAAATAAGTAACTCTATACATGGATGTGTTGACCATGCAAAGAAGTTACTTTCAGACACAAACTGAAAGAAAGTCCTGAAACAGCTACTTTCATATAAACATTGAATTACACACATATGTATTTAACAGTAATCTAAGCTAGATTTAAGGAAAAAATATATGAAATAAAAAAAAATCGTAAAAATAAGTTGATGATTTACAATTTTCTCATAGTCCTCTCAAATGTTTCCAAAGAAGACTTAAAATATTCTAAATCTACATTGTATTTATTTGCAAGTCCCAAAATTCTACCTACAGATTCATTCCGGCCATAGTTGGTGCGACAAAAGGGTACTTTGAAGATTTCCGAATTTCTTGTTCTCCTTGGATTCACATTAAAAGTTATAAGTTCGACAAGTTCCGGGGAATTTATTATTTTATGAATTGGTTTAAGATCTGATTCTAATCTTCTATGTACCAGAGTATTCAAGTTAAGAATGTCCAATATAATTTTATAGTCATATTCACCAATATGATATCCCAGTTTATATGCAGAGTAGATATATGGCTTGATGTAAGTGATGACTTGAAATAAGTCTGAAATCAAAATAAATCTATTAACAAAAAATTAATTTTGTTGTTACAAAGCGTGAGATGCATTAAATTATATTTTTATTATGGCTTCAATCTGACAAAAAGCTCCTAACCAAGTATTTCCAACAATGGATATTTAGCACCCCACACTATTTTACAACAATTTTTTTTTTGTAAATATACAAAAAATTAATTTTGTTGTTACAAAGCGTGAGATGCATTAAATTGTATTTTTATGATGGCTTCACTCTGACAAAAAGCTCCTAACCAAGTATTTTCAACAATGGATATTTAGCACCCCACACAATTTTACAACAACTTTTTTTGGAAATAGATTTATTCTGATTTCAGACTTATTGGAAGTCATTAGTTACATCAAGCCATATAACTTATTATCGATGTTGAACACAATCTTAAATTAGTTACGAATCATTATCAATTTTTCAGTTTATGTTGCTATTAAAGCGTGTTTTTTTTTAGTTTTTTGAACTATTATTCATTGTCCATTTTTTAGTTTACCTTCTTAGTGGCAAGTGAATAAAAATCTACAGTATGTGAACGGGAAAATGCGTAATTCTAAAAGTTTTCATTGACGCATGTGTGTCCTTGAAATACACAGGAGCTGAGAGTTTCATCGTCAGCGTTTAACAACACTTGAGTATTTTTGAACGCTGTTTTCCAGGCGCAAGCCTGGAAAACAGAATATATATCATACAAAAGTCCCCTCTTACACTTTTCCACATTATACATACTATCAAAAATCAGTTTATGAGGAATTAACTCTTACCTAATCTGTAATTGGTAACGACAAGGACTATGTCTCTGTCAAGGAAGATGTCGGGTCCATACCAGAGGGAATTGCCACCCCCAGCTAACCAGCCTCCCCCATGAAAGAAGACCATTACGGGTAGTGGATCTGCATCAAATCTTGATAGCTGAGAAACAGTTGTCGGGTAATTTATCTGAATGAACTCTGTTAAAGTGATTTCTTTGAGGTTCATTCAACCCCAAATGGAATATTATTGATGCTAGATATTTTTCATTCCTACATTTATCTGGATTATAGACTCATTTCAGGAAGGTATATTTCGGATGAGGAGTTAATAGGAGTATCAGAAAGATTTCCCTTGAGTCACAAAGTGGGCAATGATTGCTTGCTTCACTAACTGCTTATTTTTCATTATTTACTTTCCGCGCAGTGACTTCGATCATACACAGCATGTATTCGATGTATTTATGGAGATGATGATTTTCCAAAAAATGAAGATGTTCAATTTGAATAAACAATATTTCCTTCTCCAAACAAAAATGTTTGGAGAAGAAAATAATGATAACTTCTTGAATGTTAGATAGAAATTCCTTTTTTGAGTAATGTTGTACTTGGAANGAGAAAGGTACTTTTCATTAACTTTCCACCGAAATTCTTGCAATGCTATTTTTGAAAAAACAAGTAATTCTTACTTAGTACAGCTTTGGAGTCTTGATTATACAAAGAAGAAAAATAAAAAAAATGAACATCCAAAAGTTCACTCATTCACTTATACAAGAGTTTCAAATTATTTCCAGCAGCTTCTATTCAATAATAGATGTTTCAGATGTTCAGAAGCATTTTCCATGTAATGATTTCACATTCAGCAATGAAGCGTTGACATAAATTATTCAGAAAATCTGACTGAGTTTTATCGATTGTACTGACGAAATACCGTGTAGTAACATCTAGTTCAACAATGTGTTACTTTAGAAGTACAAGTCTACTTTCAACAGAAGATACCAAAAACTGGTTATTTTCTCGTGATAAGTGTCAAATTCAGAGTTCTTCATTGTAAACAAGTAAATCAATTCTTAATAATACCATATAATTGAATCGAAATATGCAGAAAGGGCACACGTCAAAAACAGTTTTAGAAATCAGAAAAAAAGGGTTTTGACCTAACCAGCTGTAAATCCCTATGGTTGCTTACTTGATTCATTGTTAAAATCAAATATTAATATTTTGATTGTACATTTTTCTTGTTTGTCTAAGGATTGAGAAGGATAAAATCTTTAGAAAATTTGCAACATTATACCTATCATTACTGAACTTCTCATAGCATTTGAGTCTACATCCAAAATATTATTCATTGGATTTTCGTAAAAAAAATATGTTTTCTAATATAACGATCCCGATGACATCCCCTTTACAAAGATGTTATCAATAAGATCGACAGAAGACTCAATCAATGAATATCAGACAAAAACTGGGCTCCCCAAGACGAAACGTTGCAAGGCCAAGCTTCCACATCGAACTAGCGAACGAGTCTCGTCTTCTGCCTTTCATTGCAGCTCTAACTCTGAACAACAAATGTCTCAGACTTTTGACAGGTAGAAACAGCATTGTCTGGGGTTTCTTTGGTTTCTAGTTTCATTACGATCGCATTGAGAAGTTTCCTTGCAGCTTTCACTGCAGCTCTAACTGCAAGGAATTTAATTGAAACCAAAGCCTAAAAACAAAGCATTTTTAATGCAACACCAGACAGCTTTGTTTCGCCTCTTACTAGTGGTGTTAGGCTGAACAACAAATGTCTCAGACTTTTGACAGGTAGAAACAGCATTGCCTGGGGGTTTCTTTGGTTTCTAGTTTTATTACGATCGCATTGAGAAGTTTTCTTGAGTTCTCCTGTTTTCTTCCATTTTGGATAACCATGTTGTGAAGTAACAAAACAAACAAACTGAAAAAGATGACGCCAATGACAATAATCCAGAGGCGGTTGCATCGACATCCCCACCATCGCAACTTTCAAACGCTATGCATGAAGGAAAGGTTTCGTGTATTTCATTAGTTTTATCCGTGTAACTAATCGTGACGTCTACTGTTTTTACATATTCAGCCACTCGTGCTGGCGAAAGGTTATGTAGCAGTTCCAAACTGCGACGGTCTTTAAACCCGCTAAAGCCTTAACCAAAATATATGTAATTGTTTGAAAAATTACTTGTGTTCTTTCTGCATATTCAGATTCAATTACAAAATGCGCAGTTCATCTTAAAATTCCTCTCTCTCTTGCCTGAAAGAAGAAATCAATGACCTTACGAACAATTTGCTGTTTGACCCCTAATCCCATCCAATATTTGAGAGTTGGATCTTAAGTGAGTGAAAGTATAAAGGATGTTGATGAAATGGAAAATGAGTTTCAGTTGTTGCAGATGGAGGTTCCAATATTTTCACGTGCACCATCTACAACTGACGATATAAAGCTGAAACCCACTTTTTAATCCAGGACTATGAAAATCATACATTTTTGAGAGCCATCAAGGGGCTCCATAAAAATTCAGCGATCAATTTCGTTATTATTGAATCACCCTGTATTATTTTTTCGAACTAAATTTCAACTTGGTGAAATGATGCGAATAGAAAAAGTAGACTATATGAAAAAATGGATATGTTTTCATTCCGAAATGAATTGTAATTATGATTTTGGTTACATTGGAAAACTACTTTTTTTTCTGTTTATTATGCTTACATATTACGTTATTTCTTTCGACATAACACAATATTATTATTTTACCTCGCCTAGGTTGAATTCACTAAAAACTATTATTTTTGTAGAGCAACAATTAATTAATTTTGCGTTGGGTTATTCAGAACTTTTTGACAAACTTTCATAATTCACCTGTTTCAGTGTCAATTTTTTTTACCATATAACCCACCANTAACTACTCTTTAAGATTAAGTACTGTGTATCTCAAAAACCAGAGCTAATAAAAATTTTTCATTGTTATTTTCGTTTTTATCACCCCAAAATTAGTAGAAATTGACTAATTTAGTGTAGGAAACATTCAAAAAATATTTTTTTGTTGTGTTGTGTTATTGATGTTTTTTTCTTGTGGTCCACTCTTTTGGCATCTTTATTATTCATCTAAATATTTCTATAGTTTGTCTAGCTTTTGATTTCGAATCCTCCCCCTCTCCTTGTTTTGTCTTAGAATTTCGTTTGGTATCAAGTTATGTCGGTTCGGAAAAAATATAGTGATGTAGGTAGTTTTTTTTTCCATTTTGTTACATAACAGACATTTTCTTCCATTCACTTCAATCTTTTTATGCATAGAATTTTCCAATAACACATTGAACTTTCATCTGATTTCAAATTCGAGTAGGAGTAGTAATGAGTATGCAGGAATAATTATATCGACATGATTACCTCCAATCTGAATATCAAATTATACGATCATCGTTCTCGTGAACTGTTTATTCATAATTTTATTAGAAATAAATCTCAGTAAAGTGGATTTTTCATCGATAGGAATTCGTTGTAATGTGTTTCATAACGACACGTGCTTGTGGCAAATTTTTCCGAAGATTGGCAGGCCAAACAAGTGAATAACAATATGAATACAAACTAGTTTCTCTAACACAATCAACATATATTGAGGAAATATTATTCAAGGCAACAAAAAAGTTGCTCAGTTACTTCAGAGGAAAAACCTGGTGGAATTCATTGAAGATCCAATATCCAGAGTTCGACAGAGGAAAATCGCCAAAAATTGTCTCAAGAAATGTTCCACTTTAGGATAACTCACTTTTCTACTCGCACTTCCTTTGGCATTGAAAATAAAGAAAAATCATACATTCTTCTCAATATTGGAGAAAGTATTTCAGAAATACTTTTTCCGGCTTGAATTATCTTTTTCTTAAATAATTCAAACATGCCTGATTTTTACACCATATATTAAACTTCAAACAAATTATGTGGACGATTTCAGCCTTTCAAAGTAAATCAAAATAGGCTTTGAATGACTTTACAAATTTAGGAATTAAAATTGTCGTGTTCTGTGACAATCGAAACGTCGTGAACTAGCTTGGTTTGAAATATTTTTTTTATACTGAAAACGTTATATTTTCAGGAGTGATCAATTTTTGGGACAGAATTTTTTAGCTTCCTTCTACCTCATCTTGATTCAGAAAAATGTGGGATTCTTCCAAAGAAACGAACGAAGCAATCAATTTCAAGAGTAACTCTATACATAGATGTGTGGTAGATCATGTGAAGAAGTAACTTTCAGAAAAAAACTGGAAAAAAAACGCCCTGTTGAAACAGATACTCTCATATAAACATTGAATTACACAAAAAAAATATTTCCAAACAAATACTTTCATTTGAACACTGAATTATACAAAAAACAATTGTTGTCTACTCAGTTTGTATTCCCAACATCCGTTATGGAATTGAATCAGATATTATTCACAGGATTCCTACACAATACACTAAATGAAAGGTAAAAATTTCACTTACATGGAACACTGTCATCCTCTCTGGTAGAAATCCGATACTTCGCCGTAAGACCCTTGTCTTAGAGCTCTTCAGTACCAAACTAGGTAACATGATAAGGTAAAACACAGAATTCATTCATGAATTACGACTTCATGTCAGGTAATGAGTTTGATCTACTCATGCCATCGATGATATCGTAATGACATTCATTCGCTTATTGATCAAATCCCAGCCAAAGGAATCTTCAGGGCTTGCAGATGAGCCCTGAAATATTCGACCTACAGTAATCCAGGACGAGAATTTGACAGCCCCCATGCGGCTTTTGATNACTGTTTCTTTAGTCTTGGTTGATGGTGGCTCTGGTATTCCAACACGTGTCGTCCTTAATGTTTAACGGAAGTTCAATTCCTATGTTATGTTGATAATATAGAACAGAATTAAAAAAATAACTTTCTGAAGGAGTCGGAGGATTAGCTCGTAGAGTCTTGTTGCACATACGTGTGGTCCATTTAGTTCTTACAATTACGGAGGAAAAGAAGGTCTACGTCTCTTTTAAATAAATTACGAGATCACCTGATATCCTAGAAGCTCTGTTTTCTCAGGTATCATCCATCCTTCGCCACGGTCTCATTACAACACTGTAAGCTCAATTTCAAGGCGAAGGATACCGTAGAGTTACACTAGTTATACTAAAATAACAAAATATCCACATATGACGATATAAATAATTAAAAAAATATGATTTTATAATTTCAAAATTACGACATATTATAAAACCCGCGCCGCGTCTGTCTGTGTGAACACGATAAATTTAAAAACTACCGAATGGGTTTTCATACTGTTTTCATCTGAAAGAAATGATTCAAGAGAAATGTTTAGGTGCGAAATTCATTAATGACGATTTTATCATTTGTCTGCATGAAGTCAATATGGCGATGGCAATGCTAGTCAAGCCATTTTTCACCGAAACCACTGGTAATTCCCACAGTTGGAATCGAATCAACCTTCATTTAGCGGTGGATTAAATGAGTAGAACTAACCACCGGGCTACCGTCTGAACATTATTGCAAATAGCTTATCTCTATGGCATGAGTGGTTCAAGCCTTGAAATGTACAACAGTTATTGTCGAGTAGATAAATCGTTCAAATAGATAAGTATGTTGATGAAATGGAAAATGAGTTTCAGTTGTTGCAGATGGAGGTTCCAATATTTTCACGTGCACTATCTACAACTGACGATATAAAGCTGAAACCCACTTTTTAATCCAGGACTATGAAAATCATACATCAAGGGACTCCATAAAAATTCAGCGATCAATTTCGTTATTATTGAATCACCCTGTATTATTTTTTCGAACTAAATTTCAACTTGGTGAAATGATGCGAATAGAAAAAGTAGACTATATGAAAAAATGGATATGTTTTCATTCCGAAATGAATTGTAATTATGATTTTGGTTACATTGGAAAACTACTTTTTTTTCTGTTTATTATGCTTACATATTAAGTTATTTCTTTCGACATAACAAAATATTATTATTTTACCTCGCCTAGGTTGAATTCACTAAAAACTATTATTTTTGTAGAGCAACAATTAATTAATTTTGCGTTGGGTTATTCAGAACTTTTTGACAAACTTTCATAATTCACCTGTTTCAGTGTCAATTTTTTTTACCATATAACCCACCAAAGAACTTGACCCCATCAAAACACGAGAAATAGCTAGTTTCTTGCAAGTATAAATTACAATACAAATCTGCTCTGAAACTCTCCTATTAACTTATTAGGTTATGTTCAAAGTGAGTCAATTCAACCCAACTATGTCCACCCTCCTAATGAAGTCGACTAATTATAAACGTCCCACTACGTCGAAATTTCCTTAGGTTAGGTTAGGCTTGGTCCAAAGTGAGTGGGTCTATTCGACACTCCACTGCAACCCGCAAGGGTTTATTGTGGCTCACACCTATTCACACTCGACCAAATAAGTCCAGCTCTTCAACGAAGACTATAAGTTTGTATGGTGAGTAGTCTTTCAGGTCAGATGGTGAGAGTAGTATGGCTCTGCCGAATTCTAAAAACATGACTCGGTCTCCATCGGGGCAGGCACAAAGTATATGCTCTGCTGTTTCATCATTTACCAAACAGAGGCGACACACACTGTCTTCCGACAGCCCAAGTCTCAGCATATGATGATTTGAATGACAGTGACCTGTAAGAAGGTCTGTTAGACATCGTAGTTCATCCCTACTGTAGTCCAATAACTTTTCGGTATCAAACTTCAAAGGGTTATTGAACGCCTTGGAGTCAGCCAATTCTGGAAGATTCTGCCAGAATCTTCCATGGACCACTGGAAAAATGTTCTTGCCATCGAAGTGTTCAATCTTTGTTTCGCAAAGCCTAAGGTGATGCCAATGGCAGGTTCCAGTCCGATAAAGCTGCTTGCAGCACCCTCCTTTGCAAGGGAGTCAGCAGCCTCATTGCCTACCAGACCAGTATGGTCGAAAATCCAGACCAGAGTTAAGTCAACAATATATTGTTGTTCCTAGGCAGGTTGATATCTCTGTCCTGGTTCTGCGACTGAAAACACCTTCATCAGAACCGGAAGGTGTGTTTGATACATCTGTGAACCAACAACTTTCTGCTCTTAATATTTTTTTCTCCCGGAGGATCTAGTCCTCTCTACTCGAGAACAGTACTTCATAAGGCAGTTCGTAGTTGGAGGCATAAAGTCAGAAGTCATTTCCAGAATTCTGCGACTTTCAGTGTCAACCCACAGTATGTTGCACTCTGCATTAAATTGATTCGTGCAATTGGCAATTTGCACAAGTCTATATGCAGTCCAGCTAGCCTCTCTCTCTAGAGAAATGTGGAGAGGAGTTAGATCTAGACGGATCTCCATGGCCGCTGACGGTGTGGTATTGATGGTCAGATCAGCCTGTCTGTGTAAGCCAGAGAGTTTCGCCTGGGTCGTCCTACTACGTCGCATTTTCCTTACGTCTAGTGGTTATTACGTCAAATTGTCACTTCGTCGAAAACCATCCCATCAACTGACGTCACCAAAATACAAAAATTGTCGAAACTGAAATTAATTTCACATGCATAGTCATACACACCCGATTAATTAATTGGGAAAATGATCTTATCAAGGCCTTTTACTGTCACAAAAGTGTAGAGTATACTAAAAGGAAAGAAAACAAAAAAAAATGAAGGGAAACTGTGAATTGGATGTTGAAAGAATATATAGTAGAGAAAAAAACACCAAGAGAAACCTAAAAACTTATATCTGCTCAACTCACCTTTGGTGTGTAAACATTCAAATATAAACAGTCCTCCTCTCCCTCAATGATATTTGATCTCCTATAAACATCTCTTTGAGGACAAACAGCATGAGTTTCCGTGGCATTTATTGTTCCATCCCAAGGATCAATGGGAACCGGTGGCTGAAAAAAATAGTTCGTTATCGATTTTGCTGGACTATTTGAATACCAAATACAATGATGTAAGTTGGCTTCAATGTTGTATGAACGCGGCGTACTTGTGTATATTATGAAGAACACAACTTTTTATATTTTTGAATCATTATTTTTCAGAAACGGTGACTCCCAGGAGAGAAAATGTGGAAACAATATTTCTAGATAATTACCTATATGTTTTTTACCTTCTATTCGACCTATTTTTATGATGAAACTTGCCGTTGAGTCAAAACTGCAAAAATAGAATATTTGCATATTTTGATCTTGAACAGTTTTTTTGCAGATGTAGGATCTATGGGGATTGTTCACATTTCACTTGAAACAGTGTTCCTAGCATCCGTTTCAATTTTTAGTTATATGCGAGTTACTGTAACCTCGTCCCTATTTTTGGGCTAACTTGACAGGGCTACATAATTTTCAAATTTTTACTGCTGTTCACACGTAACACGTTATACATGTGATCCTCGAATGGTTAGGCAAGATTGGACTGACGGATGAACATATCAAATTATACTAGCGAAACACGAAATGTCATTTCTAGGACTACACTTGAGCTACATTATAAACTGGTTTCGAACAAATCGAAAGTTAATTAGATAATAATGATCTATACATGGTAACCATATAATTCATCACATCATGCGAATGAATATTCCTTGAAAGTTCGCAGGCTGTGCTTAACTGATTTATGAAGATATTCATTGAAATTTCAATGACTGAGAGATAATCAATTATTAACCTCGCAGCTCGTTTCAAATGAATGATTCGACAATTTGCTGCTACAAAGAAGTATGATTTCTTCATCCCAATTAGTCGCACATCGTTGTGCCAATGTCCTTCATGGTAAAGTACATATTAGTAACCTATTTGCTATTACAGTTTCATTCTTCATCCTAGAAAAGATGAAATTTGATGACCTACAGACCTACAGAATATGTCTTTTATTATAAGTTTGAAAAATACCTATAGTACGATTCGATAATAGTAGGCACTGAATTCTCAGAAATATAGCTGAAAACTGGTCAGAGGATCAGATTTTCATTGTTAATAATATTAGTGATACACAAATGCTCTGTGATTGTATTTGGAAGGAAAGTCACAAGATCAAAAATTGGCGATCTGATCGAAAAATTGATCACGCTGTTTTAACGGTTGCAAATCAGATTGAAAATCTAGGAGTTTTTATCGATGATTACCTCAAATTCAAAAAACATACTTCAACATTGATTCAAAGAGTATTTGGGAAAATTAAAGTATTATACCCTCATAGGCATGTTTTGAGGCTAAAAAACAAATTACTCATTCGTGATTCGTTGATACTATCTATTTTCAACCATTGTGATGTAGTGCATCATTATTTTCTGAATAAAAATGACCAACAACGAATTCAAAGAGTTAAAAACTCTTGTTTGAGAATTTTGTAACGTATCAAAAAAAGAGAACCGATTTCTCATACACTAAAAAAGCCAGGTGGCTGAAAATTTAGCACAGGCGGACTCTTCATTCTTCGATATTATTTCATGAAGTTATTGTTAGTAGAACACCTTATCGAATAACTTATCGAACTGATGTTCATAATGAGAACATCAGGCGCAAAATGATCCATGTTGTTAGACACTCCATTGAACTATTCAAAAGTTCATTCACATATACAATAGTCAAATTCTATAACAACCTTCCACCTTCCTTTCATTCGAAATCTGTTTCCAGTTTCAGGTACTGCCTGAAAGAACACCTTCTGATAAAACAATAATACTCGAATATCTTTTACGATACATTGGCTCTTGTCGGCTATAGTTAAAATAATTTTAGTATTCTTATGTTTGTATCGATATCTGGCTTGTCTCACATATTCAAATAGTTATTTCTCCTACTCATCATGGTTTCGTACACGATCATGTATGACAAATCTTGCATGTTTAAATAGATATCTCTGTACGTATCTGAACAAGCACAAACAAGTCGATGTTGTTAATTTGGACTTTCAAAAAGCCTTCGATCAAGTAGACCATTATGTTCTTCTCAGCAAATTGATAAAATTGGGACTCTCTAATCAACTGTTTACTCTAATTGAATCATATATAATTAACAGAAAACAATTCGTCAAATATTAATCTTTCAAATCGGCTCAGTACGTAGTTACATCTGGGGAACCACACGGTTATAATCTCGGACCTCTTTTATTTTAATTTTTTTTAATGACTTGGCAACCTCTTTGAATATTCCTAGCCTACTATTTGCAGACGACCTGAAACTATCAATGTCATTGCTTTTCGAGTTTCGAAAACCTCAGCCGTGAAAGTCTAAACGATTTTGTCGACCTGTAACTATATTATAAAATCGACGACATTACTGACTGTCAACGTGTACAACATGAATTAGATGTAATTAAACTTTGGTGTAATAATAATCGTCTACAACTGAATGTATCCAACTGTGAAATAATATCATTTACAACAAAAAGCTAACTTTAATGTACGATTATTCAATCAACAATACTACAATCAACCGCGTACAAGAGATAAAAGATCTTGGTATAACATACGACAGTAAATTAACATTTACAACACATATAAGGAATATGACTGCTGATGCAAATAGGACGCTTGGATACATTTATGGAAATGGCAAAAACTTCAAAAGTATTGCCACTTAAAATTACTATATTTTGCGTATGCCAGATCTAAGTTAGAGTATGGCTGTGTGTTAAGGAATCCAGTTTACGAATATCAAAAAACATCAATTGATGTTATGCTACGATCACCATTGAATTATATGTGCGGTAGCTTCAATATTCATTTCGACTCTTTGAACGCCTTCGTATCATGTATCAACAATCACTATTGATAATAATATAAATGAAATTTGTGTCAGTACTGATACATTGCATGATTTGTAAATATTTGTGTTATATACTCAATTTTTCATTCCTGTTTTGAAATTCTACGTGTACGAATATTTTATATATACTTTGTTTTAGCATTTACTTTTATACATTTCTATATTCCATTATGTTTAATATTTATTTATTTCTGCTGTCAATAAATTCATTTATTTTTATTATTATACATATACGTATTACGTAATTGAAACTGGAAGGCGGTATTCAACTTTGCTTCTCAACAAACCTTTACTCCAGTTACCAACCCAAAAATATATAATAGTTGATATTATTATGAACAACGAGTAATAAAATAATACTAATAATCAGAAAAAAATTAATAATAACCAAACCAAACCTATTTTTTGAAATGTCTTACTGTTGTTTTCCGTTTCTCTTTTAACCTCCCTACGCCTTTATTTTTCTCTCATAGATTTTCCATTTCCTCAACTTCATTTGTTTTCTTTTTGAATTTTCTTCTGATCTCAATTACTTCTCTTTGAACTTGTTCAAACTTGTTATAACCTACTATTGTTTCCATCGTCTTCACCTGATTACACAACACAAGAAAGTTTTTGTTTCGGGGTTGAAATTAGATGATTTTAATGTATTTCCACGTGTTAAAACCGAAAGTGACCATAAAAATTATCAGAAAAATGTGGGATTCTTCCAAAGAAACGAACGAAGCAATCAATTTCAAGAGTAACTCTATACATAGATGTGTGGTAGATCATGTGAAGAAGTAACTTTCAGAAAAAAACTGGAAAAAAAACGCCCTGTTGAAACAGATACTCTCATATAAACATTGAATTACACAAAAAAAATATTTCCAAACAAATACTTTCATTTGAACACTGAATTATACAAAAAACAATTGTTGTCTACTCAGTTTGTATTCCCAACATCCGTTATGGAATTGAATCAGATATTATTCACAGGATTCCTACACAATACACTAAATGAAAGGTAAAAATTTCACTTACATGGAACACTGTCATCCTCTCTGGTAGAAATCCGATACTTCGCCGTAAGACCCTTGTCTTAGAGCTCTTCAGTACCAAACTAGGTAACATGATAAGGTAAAACACAGAATTCATTCATGAATTACGACTTCATGTCAGGTAATGAGTTTGATCTACTCATGCCATCGATGATATCGTAATGACATTCATTCGCTTATTGATCAAATCCCAGCCAAAGGAATCTTCAGGGCTTGCAGATGAGCCCTGAAATATTCGACCTACAGTAATCCAGGACGAGAATTTGACAGCCCCCATGCGGCTTTTGATGGTTTGAAAGAAATGTCAAAATTTGAATGATCGACAGAAATTGTAAATCTTCGAGGTCTGTTCTTCTTTGCTTTTGTGCAACCAAAACGATCCCTTTTTGGATCATTTCCCAAAGGTAAAAACCCACCAAATCAATTTAATTTTTTCCCATTCCATAGAATTGAAAAATCTATCAGTGATCCTAATGGGAAACATCTGATTAACATTCAAAGCATTGTCAATGAGTTTTTGTTTGAATGAAGTTTTGTATGAACGTACATATTAGATATCCAAACCCAGGCATGCTGATTTTCCTCGACGGATCATCAAATGAAATACATCAAGACTAGTTCTAGTCGAAGATATTAATTATGAGAATCTCTGATATGGTGTTTCACAGGATTCAAATTTTGTTATATATTATAGTAGGTAAGCTGTAAGTAATTTACATTATGTACCTAAGGATCTGCTTAACCTTGAGTAGAGATCAGTTCACGAATACGATGAATGATAGTATTATAAGTGCATAAAATATTAATTTCCTGTGTTCCGATGCTTCGTATTCGCATAAATCTGAACGTGAATAGCAATAAGGCAGAGCCAGTCATTGTTCTGGTGAAGTAGTTCCATGGAAAGCCTTTTTATAGGTTTTCTTATGTGTTTTTCCGAGTATTTTTACTCAGTATCATTATTGGTACCGACCGGTTTGAGGTATTTCCTCACCCTATGAAGTTGGAATAAATGGAATTGACAGGACTCTCATACCATAAAAAGCAAATATAAACATGACGTCTAAAGGCCAAGCCTAGCTTCGACAT